CTAATGAAGAACTTTTCTTTATGCACCCTCTCCACACCACTCGTGCTTTTATAGACCTCTATCCTATCCCCCCTCAGTCTCCTCTTTTCTAAGCTGAGAAGTCCCAGTCTCTTTAGCCTCTCTTCATATGGGATCTGTTCCAAACCCCTGATCATTTTAGTTGCCCTTCCCTCTCCCACCCTCTCTTTTCCCCTCTCCCACCTCCTTTTCCCAGTCTCCTCGAGTTTAGTTCAATAAAGAGAGTTTCTATTTTTGAATACGTGTGTCCTTTATTTTGTACATCAGGAAGGGGGAGTTAGGGAGGGGTAAGTGGAAGGAGGTGAGGGAGGAATGGGGTATGATCCCCCGATGGGGAGGACTGGGGTGGCTCTGCGGGCTTCTCGGGGTGGAAGCTCTCCTGCAGCCCCTCGATTGACAGCCCTCCCCGCCGGGATGGCAGCCTGCGGCAAGTGCAGCCGGGCTGATGGCCGAGTGCTGTGATGTGCTGAGTGTAGGCACTCAGGGCACTTCAAGCCAGGACTGCTTTGCAAACAGGGAACCCCTGAGAACTGTCTGTCCGGGGTGGGGATTGGGTCCCTTTAACCACAGCCCTCGGCTAGCCTGAGACAGCAGCTCCACGCTCTAAGTCCTAATCTGATGCCCTGCCGGCACTGCTTCCAGCCAGCCTTAACCTCGGTTCAGGGTCCTCTCCAATGTGGACATGCTAGTTCGAATTAGCAAAATGCTAATTCAAACTAGTTTTTAGGTCTAGATGCACTAGTTCGAATTAGCTTAGTTCGAATTAACTAATTCGAATTGTTAGTTCAAATTAGTGCTGTAGTGTAGACATACCCTCAGAAAGAGATTTAAGTCCTCTTTATTCGCAGGGTAGATATAAAATAGCAGAGGCAATGCAAACTTCCATGTCCTGAGTCAGAGACACATCTCCTCCTCCCTGGAGGGACCACTTATATGCATGGAAAGGGAGTTCAATCTGCTTGGATCCCTCTGCTGCAACTGATAACCACAGGACAATTCCTGGCAATTTGGATAGTGCTTTTATAATGTTGCTATGTCTACACTAGGATCTTGATTCAGAACCCTAGCTCATTTCAGATAAACCACTGGCTCATGTGCAGGATTGATTTTTTAAATTATTATTTATTACACACTGCTGATGTGCAATCATATCTTACTACTAATAAAATAAAGTTTGAATAGAGTTGATATGGCCAGGAACAAAATAATTTCTGAGTTGCTTGCTGCTGTTGTATGACTTCTGATTTCTTTAACTTGTCTTCTCTGATTCTCTTATTTGTTGTAGGAGTACATACTCAAGGGAGTGGTGAATGCAGCCCTTGGACAGGAAATGGGCTCAGTAAGTAAAACCCTTCTTGTTCTCCAGCATTTACATGAGTATTAGGGGAGGAATAAATGTGGTATTTTAAAATAGAGCTAATGGGAAAGAGGTGGTAGTTTCACACTCAGATCCCATGCTTTCTGAGTCCCTTCATTTCCTCTCTCCATAATTTGCAGTCCAGAGTGAGTGAATTATGAGTTTTTGGTTACTAGCCCTGAGACTCATCCAAACTGAATGGAGTCTCTCTATCCCTGCTTACAAAAGTCTCGCTTCCTTTTCCAATGATTCCTTGTTTATGGGTTCACCCAATGAGATTTCTTCCTTGTTTACTGTATCTCTGTCCCTATCTTCCCCCTTGCTCTCCAATGTATGTATTCACTTTGCTCCAGTTCACCCTACCCACCCACGGTAGAGCATGTGTTCATTCTGTTCCATGAGACCACTCCATACTTTGAATCTCATATCATTTGTTTCTCTCCAAGAGGGATCATCTGAAAATTGCTCAGCAGTTCTTCCAGCTGGTGGGTGGATCAGCTAGTGAATGTGGTACGTTTGAAGTTTTCTTTCTCCATTATGTAAACACTCTTCTACTGATACTTTAGTATATACTGTCCTATAATAGTGTCTGTGAAGTTGCTGACTCTCAGCATGTGTAGTGCCAGGTATTGTGTTGCTGTAGTTATGCTGGTAACACGGTGTTTCCACATGGTACATCTGCTGTCATACGAAATTGAGGCTGTGCTCTCACATACATGTACATGCAGTTTTGTGCATGTTGTAGACACCTACATTGTTCCAGTTAAAGAAATTGGTTTGTAATAAAACAGCATCTTTACCCATGTGAAATGGTTTGTAAACAATCACATTAACAACATAATTTGGGCTAGAGATGGGCCTGGTGATCTACCAGTATTATTGTCATAGAACGTATTTTTGTCTAAATTAGACTGTAAGCCAGTGGTTTTCAAACTATGGGTCACGACCACTACTGGGGTTGTGAAGTACTGTGTCTCATTGCTGAGGGTGATCAGGTGACCAGTTGGGGTGCTCAGACAGGCTACCCGTCTTCTGCCTATGCCCCAGAAGCAACCGGCAGCAGGCCCAGCTCCTAGATGGGAGAGGGGCAGAGAAGGTAGTGCACAGGGCTCTGTTCAGTGCTCCGTCCCAAACACTAACTTTGCACTCCCATTGGCTGGGAACCTGCTGCTGGCTGCTTCTGGGACGCAGCATGGTCTGCGGGGCCAGGAGAGGCAGGAAGTCTGCCTTAGTACCCCTGCTGCATCACTGACTGGGAGCTGCTCAAGGTAAGCTCCTCATGCCACAGCCCTGACTCCCCGCTCCCCCCAAAGCCAGAGCTTCCTCCTACACTCCAAAGCTCTCATCCTCAGCCCACCCTAGAGCCCACACTCCAGTCAAATTATGTTGGCATTTAATAAACAGGAGCAATAAGAATTCTCAGTGCAATATTCCAAAATCCAGTGTACTGGAGGTATAACACACCATTCTGTTGGCTACTTACAGTCATCCAGCTGATCTTGGTGTTTGCATTTGCTTCCCTAGAATTAGGATGGGGATTATAGTTTTGCTGCCTTTGTATGAGGGCTCTTGCAAACATTGCTGGCTTAGAAGTCTATTTCTAGTACGTCTTTCTATTGCTAGTTCTTGGTGGTCCCCAGGAGTGTAAAGAGCCAGTACAATTAGATTGTCTATTTAAGTCTTAGACAGTGCTCTACATCAGGATACCTAACTGTTTCACAAAACTGGAAAGGAATAATGTTTTGTGGGAAAAAAACCCTGCTTTAGGATTTTGGGGGTTATGAGTTTGTTTTGTCTCTGAAAGGTGAGCTAGAGAAGTGATTGATAGCACCTTCACAAGCCCGTTAACTTACTGGGAATTTTCAAAGATAAATGATCAAACAGAAAAAGCAGAGCACTCTCTTCACTGAGCCCAGTCTTGCTGCATCTCTCAGGGTATGTCTACATTGCATTGCTCCTTGCAATGCAAACGCAGATAAGCAAAATTGCAAATGAAGCACGGATTTGAATTTCCCGCGATTCATTTGCTAATCGCGGACTGCCGCTATTTCAAAATACCCTATATCAAGATTAAAAAACGCCGTGTAGACTCGGTTATTTTGAAAGTAACCCCGTTAGGGTTATTTTGAAGGAAGGGGTTTCTTTCAAAATAACCGAGTCTACACGGCGTTTTTTAATCTTGATATAGGGTATTTTGAAATAGCGGCAGTCCGCGATTAGCAAATGAATCGCGGGAAATTCAAATCCGTGCTTCATTTGCAATTTCGTTTGTCTGCGTTTGCATTCCTCTCTCGAAGGAGGAATGCAATGTAGATGTACCCTCACTCTCTGTAGAGATCCTAGGACCAGAAAATGGGGAAATGGAAAATGTTAAAAAACTGTCAGGAACAGTGTAGTTTATGAGAACTATGTCACACTTTCAGCAAAGTCTTCCAGAATCTGTTGTTTCCAGTTAGGTTAATGACTCAGAAAATTAAGAAACACACAATGAGCAAAGTTAGGATATGAGTCCTTCCATACAGGAGCTATATTAGTCTAGACTTTTAATTATTGTGTAGTTTGAGAAAAACCTCAGAAGCATAGGCAATTGGCACCTGTCGAGAGAGAGGGTGCAGGGAGGGTCACCTGGAGGAACAGGGAGGAGGTATGAGGGGGTACCCCATTTGGCAATTGCAATTTTGAGGGGGGCACAGAGTGGTGGTGGACCACTGAGTGCTACCATGAGTCACCTATGCCAAGAAGTATCCATTATGTAGCAACCAATATTTACTTTTCCTCCAGAATAAAACCTGACCAAAGTCAAGAGCTGTACATTTCATTTCAGGGAAAAAAAAAGATGGCTTAAACTATTGGTCACCAATGGCTCATAAACTGGAATTCACATTGCAGATTAGGGCACTAGAGGTTGCATGATTTATTTGTTTGTTTGTTTTACTGTTGCCTGTTCTCTCAGCAGTTAATGCCGGTGCTCTGAGTGATCTTTCCCAATAGCTCACCTTTTTTAGCCTATTGGTGGAGAATTAAATGAGAGTTAGATTTATTGGATACAGTAAAAGAAGAACTGAAGTATGGGGAGAGGCAGTGATTTGCCACATTCACTTAATAAATGGTTTATGATTTATGTGGCTGAGCATAACTCTCAAATATCCAATTACCACTAGACAAACTTAATTCGCAATGTGAGTGGACCCGTAGCCCACTCAGATGGCTGCTGCTGCCACATCTATAGCTGGTAGCTCAGGGGTGGGCAATAATTTTTGATGAGGGGCCACTCCAAGAATTTGGTAAGTGGTCAAGGGCCGTATTCTTCCGTGATATTAATGGAGGAAGTGCAGGATCTGGGATGGAGTTTGGGTTCAGAAGGGAGCATGAGTAGGGGATTGGGGCACAGAAGGTGGTATGGGGTCTAGGAGAGAGTTTGTGTGAAGGAGGGGGTTATGACCTGGGGCAGGAGATTGGAGTACAGGAGGGGATGCAGGGTTATAAGGGGGTATGGGTATTGGTGCAGGAGAGGATTCTGACCTGGAGAGGTGAAGGAGAGAGGTTGCAGGGTCTGGATGGGGGTTGTGACCTGGGGCAGGGATGCAGGAGGCAGAGGAGAATATTGGGGAAAGGAAGAGAGAGGCTGGGGTGCCAGGTACAGGCTCTGATCAGGAGGCGCTTATGTTGGTGGCTCCCAGCGGCAAACTTCCTGCCTTCCACACACCCCATACACTGCTCAGAATGGCTAGTTGTGGGGGGGCTATGTGCTTCACTGAGTACCGCAAGTCCCAGGTGGGAGGGAGTACTTTGTATGTTGCCTGCCCCACAGACATGGCCCAGGCACTTTCATTGGCCAGTTTCCGGTGATGGGAGCTGTGAGATTGTGCTGGGAGTGGGAGCAGCATGCAAAGCCTCTCCTCTCTCCTGGCTTGCAGCAGCACTCAAAGAAGCACATGATCCCTTTTGCCCCCTTCTCTTAGCGGTTTGTGGGGGTGGGGTAAACAGAGAGCCTGCCCTAAACTCCCTCTGGGATACGGATCCAGTGGATTGGTGGTAGCTCTGCCTGCTGGAACATAAGGCTTGCCAAAATAATGGAATGTAATCATCTTCAGTAGTTTTAAGACCAAATCTGGCATGTGGTAAAGGAAAAAACATCAAATCACCGAAAGGGGGAAATCTCTTTTCTGGTTTTTGTTACTTTGCACTTGAGTCGCTTTAAGTTGCACAAAGAATGGAGTTTCTCAATGTGATGTTTTTTCCTCTTTTCTGTGGAAATCACATGGGATGGATCAGGTCTAGAAATTCCCAACTTTACTATTTTACGTCCATCAAAATGGAACAGAGCTAAGGCAAAGTCTCCCATTCATCTCCTGCCATAAAAGGAGTAGTATGTATGGTAAACCAGGGTTGGCAATAGTGGTACCAATTCATGACTTTCTTGTGTTCTTTTATTATCTTTTTAATGCCATATTTTATATAGTCATCATCCCAAAACATTCTGTGAACTATATGAATGTGACAGTGAGGAAAAATTAGAATGCTAAGATCAATGTACTAGTTGACTGTCTTTGAAATGTATAGCATTAATCTGAGTTGTATGAAATGTATGAATATTACTTTAATAAAATGCAATTTAAAGAAATACATGCAGAGGGGAGTGTGCTGGAATAAGATGATCTACTAAAAAGTGGAAGATGAGTAGGGATGTGGTAGAAAAGAATAAATCTTGAGAGAATTTATTGACCTTTGAACATTCTGTTTTTTATAAATTAATGTTCCATTATATTGATTAATTCATAAAGAAAATATATTCTCAACGACTGTTCTCTTTAAATATTTCTTTATATTTTCTTTACATCTTGTAGTTTATAAATTACTATGAATTTATGAACTCAAATATCTTGTTAGGTCGGGAAGGGACTCTTTTGTGGTTGCTTTGTGCCTTCTGTTGCCATGAGGAAGGATGGAAGAATACTGAAGTGTATATAGTTTATTTCCCTGACATGTAAAGATGCACATAGTGATGGGCAGGGCTCGACAAACCATGGCAAAATCCACTCGCCAGACCCGCACTGAGTATGCACCAGACCCACATTGCACATGCACGCGCAGCCAGTGAATGGGGCGACCAGCTGAAATCTACTCACCACGGGCGAGTACATACACTGATTTGTCGAGCCCTGGTGATGGGCATACATTTAAGTGAAGGGAAAATTAAACACACAAGCTAATTTCTATTCCCAAGTTAGGTAGGAGAATATGATATATTAGTGAAGTGTCCTTGGAAGCCAGAGTACAGATCAGTGGCCCCCAAATTGGGGGGCAGTATTCCAGGGCAACATTTGGGGTGGGGGGTTGGCCAGCCAACATGAGGGGTGGGGAGAGAACATCACCCACTCCATTCTGTCCCCAAACCAGCCCTGATCTTAGCCTAAGCTCCACTCTGACCCCCAGACCACCTATGCCTACAGTGAAAGCTCCATTCATGCCCCAGCCACATTTTCACTCCACTTGCCAGCCCAGCTTTGAACCCTTTTCTGCCCCAGCCCAGTTCTGGTCCCAGCTGTAGCTCCGTTCCACTTCTTGCTCAGCTCTGCCATCTTTCCCTCTCTTCCTTCATGCCAGCTCTGCCTTTATTCTCAGCTCCTCCTGCATCCCCAGTTCTGCCCACAGCTCTGACTTCATCTTAGGTACCTCTCCTGAGGAAGCCTTGGCTGTGCAGTAATGGAGGGGAATGGTGCAGACAGACTCCATTACAGGGAATGTGTGAAAAGAAAAGTTTGGGGACCATTGATGTAGACAAACAGTATTCTAACAATTCTAGAAGAAAAGACATTAAGATTTGAGTCTGGCTGTAGATAGAGAAGGGGAACAAAAACTTACCGTTTTCAGATAGACTCCATTCATGGGTAATATAAGAAACTATTTAAACACTCAAGTTGTTCTGTTTTAACATTTAACCAAAGTACATGTGTGTTTCATATAAACACATCACAGTTAGGCTGTGTCTAGACTGCAAGCCTCTTTTGAAAGAGGCTTTTTCGAAAGATACTTTCAAAAAAGCCTCTTTCAAAAAAGAGCATCTAGACTATAACCAGTACTTCCAAAAAAGCAAGCAGGCAGTCTGTATGCTGTCTTTCGAAAAAGCACAGTTTGCATTACATAGCGCCTTTTTTCGAAAGAGCACTTTTGAAAAAAGACATTCTTCCTCGTAAAATGAGGTTTTCCGCAGTCAAAAAAACTGCTGCATTCTTTCAATTTACTTTCGAAAGAACATGGCAGCTGTCTAGATGCAGGGGAAGTTTTTTTGGAAAAAGGCCACTTTTTTCGAAAAAACCCTGCAATTTAGACACACCCCTAGAGGTGATATTAATGTGTTAAATTGCAGAGCCCTGTGATAACACTTGATTTCCTCCTAATCCTCTGTCCACTAATCCATATCCCTGTAGAATTTATTCTTATTTTCCAAGTCTTCTGAACAACTTCAAACTGCTGCTTCATTTAAAAAGCAAAACCAAAACTTTTCCCCTCAAATAGTGAATTTTCTATTCCAGATCTCCTGCCCAGCGGTCAGATTATAGTGTTCAGCTTGGGATAGGTTTTCTGTGTTTGAAAATTGTCATGATATTGATGTGAACTATATACTTCCCACCTTCATGACTGCCTCAAGGTCACACAGCTAGGTCTCAATCCTCTAGTGGTACTCTTTTTCTGGGCAGGAACCAGTGCTCCTCTCCTTCCAGAGCCAAACCTTAGAGCTACAGTGAGCTTACAATTCATTGTTATCCCAGCCAGCCTGACTTTATTACAGCACCTAACTTTATTTCCAGCACCATTTTGTTGTTTCTCAGGGACAATAACTATTAAATCAGTAACCAGCCAGCTTTCACAAAGCATAGTGCATTTATTTCTGTCAAAAGTATTACAGAGAGAACTCATCATAAAGTAATAAACAGTCTACATAAGTGCTAAATTTACCAGGTATTTCCATCATCCGCATGAAATCCTGATAGGCCAATATACAAATTTGTCAGTCTTTTGTTGCAGAATGGGTCTGTCCTGAGTCACATCAGGCTGTCTTTCAGAGCTCCTGAATCAGGTAAATTAAGTCAGTGCTGCTTCCTTCACATGGTGCAGCTTCACCGGTCTGAATATTTGCATAACCACCACTGGGAATTTAAATTAATTATAAACATCTCTCCTCTAAATTATTCCAGATTGCATAGGAACCCCAACCAGTGAGAGAAGATCACAGAGATACAGAGGACTCAAAAGATGTGGCTTCTATTTCCCCATCTGTAAAATGAGAATAATAATGCCTTCCTTTGTAAATTGCTTTGAGATCTACTAATGAAAAGTGCTATATAAGAGTACTGTGTTATCAGTGTGCCATTTACAGAGAAATTAAGAGTTTTTCCAGTGGGACATAGTATGGCCTCATGTAGAGACTAATATAATGGACTTCAAAATATGTGAATATTTTAGGGTTAGAAAAGTTATTTTAGGAAAAAAATCTTGCATTATCGGTTGAGTAAGATAGGGAAGGATTACAAGATGAACTAGTAGCTAGCTTTTCTCCATCTATAGTGTAGCCCCCTGTCTGAAAGGGGCAGATTATATTATTTTCTAGGGCTTTTTTTTTTTTTTTTTTTTTGCAGTTGGAAAGGCAGATGTCTGAGTTAATTTTCCACCACACCCCAACTTTAAATATCTGCCTTTTCCTCTTATGCCTCAGATACGATCCCAGGGAGACAGTGCATGGCCTCCTGCTTTTTTCTGCTCAGACAGTTTGATGATGTCCTGATTTACCTCAACTCTGTCAAGGTCAGTAGAGCACCTTAATTATTGTGGGTTTACCAACTTTTTCTGATAAGAGCTTTTTCTCTCAGGCTTCTGTGTGCATAATTCCTATTGAGAGAAGAAGATAACCTACTTGTGTGGCATGGGAAAATGTCATTGGGTGCCTTATCTTTTTTTCTGTATGGTTTATGTTTGTAGGCAAAGTGAAAACAAGGGAGCTTTATTGTATATAATGTTGCTATCAGTGTTAATAACTTACATCAAGAGGTTTATCTTCAGCTGCAAACCTCTACGTGCTGAGGAACAAGAGCAGCCTGCTGGACCCTTTTCCAATACACCCAACAGAAGGAATTAAAATATGCATGGAAAAACCTGACCTTGTGGCCTTTGATTAATTTAGCATCCAAATAGCCTGGGTCACTAATAACAGAGTCTCCTACTCAGATGGCTATACAAATTTATTAAAGGAGATGAGATTGGTGAATCACACAGAGACATCAGACATTTTTTTAATACTTAAATACATAAAGACATAGTAGTTATGAAACAAATAAGTATAGCAGAACAATCCCTTGCCTTATGCATTCTCACAACCATGTGAAGACTATCAGAAGCATCTGGTCAGGAGAGGATAAAGGAAAAGTAAGAGGAAGAAAATCAGAAGTGAGATTTGACAATCCAAACTTGTATCATCTTGTCAAGCTGATGTATCCACTGGGATTGGTCTGACAATCTTTGTATGCCAATTTGTGTTACGTCCCTCATGCATCCAGTATCCATACTTAGATTGCCTATCAGTTCCTTCCCATGTGTGTGTTTTTTGGAAATCAGAATTGGTGTTCTGATTGCTGACATAAGCTATTTGTATCAATATATTTTCCAGTATTTCCAACATGTTAATGTGGTTAACCTGATGGCTACAAATACCAAAAATCCCCTAAAATACATTATTTCAAACTTAAACTGCTCTTTTGTGGTTTATTTGTTTAACAAAAAATTAATATTACTAAATCTTAAAACCTTAGGTCAAGCACATTAGGCTAACTTTCTATGCCTCCAACTTTTGCAGAGCCTGTTGCGCACGTTTTTGCATTTATTTTCCCTACTTGCATTACAGCTTTAATTATTTTTATCATCAACATCTTTACACATTTTAATTTTCCCTAACGTATAGGTTATAATTTGATTTTAAATATAAACCTTCCAGGAGCAAATCAGGGGTCACGGGTGAATAACCTATTCCTACCACAAAATACATTATTGCACACACACATACTTTTTCTTGTCTGTCATTTACATGCTGAAGGAGCAGCTTCCTGCATTTAGTTGGCAATTTGCACATGAGCAGATCTTTCATGGGCCACCCACTAGAGGACACTATTGTACACAGGCACATACCCTTGCCTTTTCTCATTTCTTTGATCATTCACATGTAAAAACAGTTCCTATATTTTATTTGATATTATGTATATTATTTCACTACAGTATAGCAGAGTTCAGAGTAACTGTAGAAATGTGAAGTAGATGAAAGAAAGAAGCGTAGAAATTTAATATGCAGATTAGGGATGTAAGTGACTAGTCGACTCTCCGATAAGCAAAAGCTGATAGGATAGTTAACACACTAGTTAACACAAAGAGAAAGCAAGGGGAGGACGGAAGACGATAGTTAACACACTAGTTAACACAAAGAGAAAGCAAGGGGGGGACGGAAGACGAGGGAGTGCTGGAGGGAGCTGGCTTAAAAGCCAGTTCCCCCCCCCCAGTTCCAGCTCCGTGGGAGGGGCCAGGAGTGCAGAGGTAGTGTTCCAACTTTGAAATGTACAAGAGTCCCCACTGGCCTCAGGCTCTATGTGGGGATTCCTCTTTGAAATGCACAAGAGCCCAGGGGCTCTTGTGCATTTCAAAGATTGAAACCCTGCGTGGAGCCTGGAGCCAGCAGGGAGTCCCCCACTGACCCCAGGCTCCATACTGGTGCTTACACTTTGAAATGTACAAGAGCCCTAGCAGGGGCTCTTGTGCATTTCAAAGATTGAAACCCCGGGCTCCATGTGGGTGCTTTATACTTTGAAATGCACAGGACCCCCTGTTGGCTCTTGTGCATTTGAAAGGTGGAACGCCACAAAAGTCCTTATTGATTAATCAAATAGTTGATGGAAATCCCATCAGCTATTTGATTAGTTAATCGAAATTTAACATCCCTAATGCAGATGAGATGACTAAAATAAAGGCACTTGGACATGAAGCTGGCAAACAATGCAGTTGGTTTAAAGGACAGCTAAGAAGTGATGGAGAAATAGGGTGCTTTACAAAGCCAGTTCCAGAAGTCTGATAATCCAGCCTGAGGGTACTTGAACATTCCCTGCTGGTTAAGTCCTGGTGCCAGTTTGCACCAAGTCCCTCCTTACATTCCAAACCAATGGGCTATGTCTACACTGGCCCCTTTTCCGAAAGGGGCATGCTAATTTTAAACTTCAGAATAGGGAAATCCGCGGGGGATTTAAATATCCCCCGCGGGATTTAAATAAAGATGTCCGCCGCTTTTTTCCGGCTTGTAGATAAGCCGGAAAAGAGCGTCTAGACTGGCCCGATCCTCCGGAATAAAGCCCTATTCCGGAGGATCTCTTATTCCTACTTTTATCCATGATTTTGTAAATAGAGGCTAAAGCAGTTTAACTGGATAAGTGTAACAGGGCACACTTTTTCCCTGAAGAGCTTTATTTGTACATCTGCACTTACTATGCTATCTAAGCACATTTATCAGTGCATTTTGGGAAAATCTGGGCAACTACCTTGGCCAAGGAAATGCAAACAAAGCAACATCAGCAGCGTGTGGAGCAATGCACTCTGGGACATAAGATAAGAGAGCCTGAAGCAAGGAAGGCTGGTTAAACTAATTATCTGAATATAACTAGTTTGTCCAAATCCCACTGTAAAAAAGAGTGCTGAACAGGATAAAGGAAGTAAACCATTACCAGCCTAGAACTATGTGACTTCGAAGTAGGAATAAGAGATCCTCCGGAATAGGGCTTTATTCCGGAGGATCGGGCCAGTCTAGACGCTCTTTTCCGGCTTATCTACAAGCCGGAAAAAAGCGGCGGACATCTTTATTTAAATCCCGCGGGGGATATTTAAATCCCCCGCGGATTTCCCTATTCTGAAGTTTAAAATTAGCATGCCCCTTTCGGAAAAGGGGCCAGTGTAGACGTAGCCATGATGTTTGGGTTAACCCCTTGTATACAATGCACTGCCAGTGCTTTCAAGCAAAAAGAGTACACAAAATAGTCTAATATAGTCATAGCTGTAGATGAAAGATGTGTCCCTATGCATGGTCTAAACATTAACAAGAGTGGGTAAGTAATAATATAGGTTGAACCTCTGTAGTCCAGCACACTCTGGTCTGGCAACATTTGTGGTCCTGCATGATTTTAGTTAGCTGGATGTCCACTTATCATGGGTGTGGTCAATTTTCCTGCAGCTCCATAACATTTGTTTACAGCCACCAGTCCTGGCCCTCAGTGTTCTGTGCTGTTGTTTAGCTCTGATTTACCTCTAAATGTCTTCTGAAAGTCCAGTAGGCAATGGAAGTGTTGGTAATGCTGTCAGAGAATATTGACCTTCTGTGGCAAACTCTTTGCTTTGGCACCAGTCAGGTTCTGAGGGTGCCAGACTAGACAGGTTCAACTTGTACTTTGTTTCCAAAAAAAGCAGCCAATGATCTTTTAGGCCCTCAACCATATAACTTTTATCCATGATTTTGTAAATAGAGGCTAAAGCAGTTTAACTGGATAAGTGTAACAGGGCACACTTTTTCCCTGAAGAGCTTTATTTGTACATCTGCACTTACTATGCTATCTAAGCACATTTATCAGTGCATTTTGGGAAAATCTGGGCAACTACCTTGGCCAAGGAAATGCAAACAAAGCAACATCAGCAGCGTGTGGAGCAATGCACTCTGGGACATAAGATAAGAGAGCCTGAAGCAAGGAAGGCTGGTTAAACTAATTATCTGAATATAACTAGTTTGTCCAAATCCCACTGTAAAAAAGAGTGCTGAACAGGATAAAGGAAGTAAACCATTACCAGCCTAGAACTATGTGACTTGGTCTATTCCAGAGAAATTTGGTCACTAATAACCACTTGTTCCTACAACCTTCTCATTGTACCCACGAATGCAAGAAACATCACATGTATAAGGAAGTTGTGAAATCTCCATCTCTGGAGATATTTAAGAGCAGATGGGTTAGACATCTATCCAGTATGGTCTCGATGGTTCTGGGTCCTGCCATGAGGGCAGAGGACTGGACTCGATGACCTCTTGAGGTCCCTTCCAATTCTAAGTGTTCTATGATTCTGTGTTTCCAATGGCATTCAAGTGATCATTGTGCTGTTTTGATTAGATATGCTGCAAGCAAAATTAACCACCATGTGGTCCACCTCTGTCAGTCTTCTCTAGAGCAGTGTCAATGTGTTCAACAAGAGCAAATAAAATCAAAAGGACTAGTGTGAATTTACAGCAACAGATGTCCTTACACAAGGCGTATTCCTCCCAATTTTGTTCACTGCTGTATTGCAGATCCACTCTCATTGGAGTGAATTGGTGTTTGCTGACCATAGTTGCTGTCACAGTTTTGAATTGTGTGTATAGCCAACCATGCCAATAGTTGATTAGAATTTGTAAAAGTTGTAGAGTGGACATGGGCCTTATTTGTGCTGATTCCCACAGCTTGAAGAATTCTGAGATATAAAGTCACAGGAAGGAGTAGCATTGACATCCTCTGACATCCAGTGCTGAACTTTGTGTGAGAAGGCTGGTTGTATCTGTACAAAAGGAAGTGGTGGTTCAGAGAAGCTAGCTTCCTGCTTACTAAGTTTCCCTAACTCTGGGATTTGTTCTAAATCTGACAAAACAATTGTTGAGGGAGAATACTCAGCACAGAATTATGATTCTGAGTATCACCTAACTAGCTTCACAAAGCAAGAGTTTACCCTTTTAAATCATTGGGGAGTCAGAGCTCTTTGTTTACCACCCTATATTTTAAAGTGTTGAGATTATATGAAGGGTTACATGGAGGAATCGGTTACAGCCTTAAAGCAAGTCTCAGCATGCCCAGAATGAAAGCCAAAGCCAAACCCACAAAAGCTGCCACGCCACAATTTTTGGCTTGGAACATTCTACAACCAACCAAGGTTAATATAGTGGAATGTTTCGGTTTTGCCTGTAGTCATAGACTCAGGATGGAAAGGCCCTTCATAATTCTTTTAGCCACTGTTTGTAAAAGCCTAATGTTTAAAGTGTATGGGTTGTTTATTTTCCTCAATTGTCTGATATAGACTGATTCAGATTTTGGATCTTTATTTTTAATATTATATGCCATGGTTTTCTGTCTGTCTGGCTTATTTTCTAGAGTTATTTCTACAATGATGATACATTTAACTTTAACTATGCCCAAGCCAAAGCTGCCACTGGCAATACCAGCGAGGGTGAGGAGGTATGTATTTGCTTTCTTAAAAAACAAACAATGAAATCCTATGTACCCCACCACACACACAGTCCCACACTTGTTCCCTCACACCTTTCTGATTCTGCCTATTGTGTGGAAATGGAGCTGCCATTTCCTGCAGGAATTTAAATGTATGTCTTGCTTTCAGTGAGCCTTATTCAAGGGAGTCAGAGTCCTGCTAACCTCCTAGCATTGGGGTATGTGAGGATCATGTTGGGAGAGAAGCACTCCAAGCTATCTCTAACTGATCAAAGAATGCTCTCTTGATCAGTTTCAGAGGGGTAGCCGTGTTAGTCTACAACTGAAAAAACTTAAAAAATAACATAGTCTTGCAGTACCATAGAGACTAACAAAAATGTAAATGGTATCATGAGCTTTCATGGGCACAACCCACTTCTTCAGATCAGTATCGGAGTATCAGCCATGTTAGTCTGAATATGCATAAACAACTAAAAGACCTGTGGCACCTTATAAATATGCTCCAGATTTATTGGAGCATAAGCTTTCGTGGGCAAAGACCCACTTTGTCAGATGCATGTAGTGAAAATTCCAGAGGCAGGTATAAATATACAGGCACATGAACAGAAAGTAGTACCCATCAAGAGGAAGGCCAAAGACCTCATTATCAATACAACTTTTTGACAGAACACACTTTTCTAGTAAGTGTATTATAAATATTGGCATAAAAACTAGCCTATACAGAGATAGGATTTTTTTATTTTTGCTAGCAGTATCCCAGTATAAACTGACTCTAAAGAAAGGATATTTGTACCTTTTTGCTGGGAGAAGCCAGAGATGATCGAGGCAGTGTCTGCACTACAAAGTTTGGTTGAAATAATTATCTTGGCTTGCAGTCAGTGACTTTTTTTTTAACTGTTTTGAGCATATGCTTGCTTTACTGCTTGCATTGTTGCTACATGTCCTCATTATGAATGGTTGTGTCAGTAGAAAATGTGGTGTATCAATAGATGTGCTGGTCAGTAAAGATTGTCCATACTTTCAGCTTTGGGGAGCATACATTGTTCTTAAAGATGACAGCTTCATCCATCTTCCCTTACCAGCCCAGAATTATAGCAATGAAGTGTCTCTGGTGATCAACTAGTACTTGAATAATCATGGAAAAGTACCCTTTTTCAGTTTATGTATTCATTGGCAAGGTAGGGAGATACCAGTATAAGGATATTGAAACTCCATTACTGCTTTTGGAGGAACTCAACCAGTCCCTTTCTCATGAAAACTATACACTAGCCACCTCGACAGAATCAAGGAAATATTTAGCTACCAGCTGACCAGGTGCAGGATGACTGTCAAATGTGCTTTTATTATACTCAAAGCTCGTTAGTGATGTTTAATGACAAGATTGGATCTCAGGAAGGCAAACATTACTATTACTGCTGCTGCATGTTGTGTATTACTTAATAGTTTTGAAATGAATGGAGAAAGACTACTAGGAGAATGGAGGAGTGAGTTGGACTGGCTGTCGGCTCAATTTGACCAGTCAGACACAAAGACTATTAGAAGAGCCAACTGTGGGGCTTTATGGTAGAGGGAGGAACTACAACTAGTCCAGGGGTGGGCAAATACCAGCCTGCAGGCCACATCTAGTCTGATAGTGTAATATTTACCTATCCCTCCACAGGTACAGGTAATTGCAGGTCCTGTTGGCCGCTGATTGCTGTTCCCAGCTAATGGGAGCTGTGGGAAGTGGCATGGACCAGGACACCACTTCCCACAGCTCCCATTGGTTGGGAACGGTGATCTGCAGCCAATTGCACATACGTGCAGAGGCGCAGGTAAATATATCAGTGATGGCTTGCCCGGAGCTAACCCTGATAGACCGGATCCGACCTGTGGGCCAGTATTTGCCCTCCTCTAGATTAATTGTAGCTCTCTGTGCTGAACCATCATAGTTGGATGCTTGCAAATGTGGGCTAGTAGGTGTGCTTGCTAAGGTGGACAACCAGGGAAAGTCATCTCAGAAACATGCTGAATTTTCTAAATGGGAGAAAGGAGTTTCTGGTATCTGGGAACCCTAGGATGTGGGGCTTAAAATAGAGAATGGAGCAACCGCTGCTGTGGAGGAGGGTCACTGTGGAACAGCCCCCGAAGGACTGTTAGAGTTGATACAGGTAGTGCATTGTCTAGTTTAGCACTAAATGGAAGAATGTAACCTTTGTAACTGAATTATTGGGTTATTATTGCACTGATGTTGCTGGGTGCCTGCATCAGCAGGATACAGATTGTTGTGTGGATAGATGTAAAACAGGTCAGCTTAGGTCAACATAACACTATACTGTAGATCAGGCCTCAGGAACTCAACAAGATCATCCATTGTGACTAACTCCACAGTATGTTGTACAAAGCTAAGATGTTGACACAGCACCTTGATAAAACTAATGGTTAAGGATTGTTATTGCTAATCCAAGACTGCTGTGTTACATACAATATGTGGCAGAGGGGTGGGAAGGGATCATCATTACAATGAGACATCTAGTATTTCAGAAAGATACTGATTTCAGTCTCTGCACTGCATTATAAATTAGTGCATTCTCAATTGCTGCTTAGGCAAACTACTGTCTTCCCTCAAATCCTGTCTTCATTTATGATTGGTTTGTTATGTACAAACGCATTCACTGGCAGCTGTTCAAGTTAGGCCACACCATAGTTTGGCATTTTAGAGCTCTAGATAATCTCATGATAAATGTTGTACTGTTTGAATTCCCCACTTGCTTGAGACAGAGAGATGCCCCTATAGATTACAATTTCACACTCTAACTTTCCATTAAGCTGTTGTTGAGTATTCTCTGGCCTGAGCCTTGGCTACATATTGGAACAAGGACAGGCCTACTGCGTATATGGTGGAGCAGATGCACATAATGTTCTTTTTCCTTCTTTCCTGCAGGTGTTCCTCTTAATCCAGAGTGAGAAGATCAAGAATGATTATGTTTACCTTAGCTGGCTGGCTCGTTGCTGTGAGTCACTTTAATTGCAAGATTGCAGGATGTGGATCCTCATGTTTTGCATTAGTCTTGCCAGTCCACCTTCCCTAATCGCTTTTTAATGTTGTGGGTGGATTTAGTATTTATGAAAGTGAAGTGTAAATGGCACTTGCTCTAGCCATTGTCAGCAAGTATTATGCAAGCAGCATTTCTTTGGAGTGCATAACCCCTCCTATTTCCGTTCTGGCCCCTACACAGCTCTGCCAGTATACCTCATTCTTGATCTCATTCTTCCCAGTCCAGGACATTGTCTGAACAGGACACTGTCTGAACCTTTAAAATAGATTACATGAATTGCTGTTACGTTAATATTGGTTCTCTCCAGTTTTTGCAAAGTCCCTCTCATGAAAAGATGCTAATATACAGGTGATGACGCCATATAAAACCTAGAGAAATAGGAGGAGACCAGTGGGAGGAAAGATAGTCAAAGTGGACAGGGCACCAAGCTAACAGTCAGGATCTTAGACAAGTCATTTATATTTGTTCCTCAGTTCCCATCTATAAAATGGGGACAATATTTCCCTAACTGTAAAGGATATTATGACGATAAAATCTATTAGTGATTGTGCTTTGATGAAGAAAACCATAGACTGTCTAGTTAGTTAAAGAACACATGGGCTGTCACTGTGATGATTGCTTGCCAATGTCACTTACTTTAGGTGGCATTTTGTCAATTTGAGGGCACATAAGCAGTACCACTGTTTCAGAACAGAGTACCAAGGAGGTGGCCTTTGCTCATATTTGCGCAGCTCCAACTGGAGACATGTCCTGAGGCAGTTATTTCCTTGTTGCCTCAACACAGTATTAAGAACATGCATTCAACTGCCCTCCTCTCACCCCAATGACTTCCAGAGCCACAATGGTAGCTTCATGATGCTGTTTTGGAGATAGGTTCACCATCTATGCTATGCCCTTCCCAGACAGATAGCTGGAGACTTCCACACTACATACATTGACCACCCATCCCTGATTCTGCTTTGGGACCTCACAGTTTCTTACTTCATGAATCCATAAATCTATAATTTGTATTGTCAATTTTATGTTTTGCATTTACCTGTGAATGAAGTTTTATTTTGATGGACGAACCCAAGATGCAGAATAAAATGGTGGTGTTGATTCTATAGGTTGTATGCTTTCCCTTTAATTCTGTTGTAAAGCAATTCCCTACTATGTTGCTAGGACTTCTATAGTGACCTTGTGGTCATTAAAAAATTCTGTGGAACTCTCATAAAAATAGTTAATTATTCTTGGGTACATTAAATAAATGTAGCATTAGTAATTATTTTCTTCATACTATGTTTCCTCTGAAGTTCCAGTAAAGTTGCTGTTTTCTTCCATATCTTTTAAAATGTTGATGTGTGCTATTAAACAGCTGCTACAACTTATTACAGGGCCAGCTACTTTCAGTAGTGGTTGAAATTATCCTTGGATGTGCAAAGTATTACTTTGGGATCTTTCTGTGTGAAAAATGCTACAGTTAGCATATGCAAATGTTAGCATATTCATTTTTGAGCATGAGTAGATACTGTAAGAACATAAGAATGGCTATACTGGAGTCAGATCAATGGTCCGTCTGGTCTAATATCCTGTCTTCTGAAAGTGATCAATCCCAGATGCTTCAGAGGGATTGAACAGACTGGGGCAGTTATTGAGTGACCCATCCCCTCCAGTCACAGAAACTGGCATTCAGAGGCTTAGCCATCTTGTCTAATAGCCAGTGATGGATCTATGCTTCATGAACTAATTTAATTCTATTTTGAACCCCATTGTATTTTTGGCCTTCAGATCATCTCCAGGACACGTCTGTCCTCGTATATTTGCAGGAGGCAAGAGATGCTGGAAGTGCACTCATTCAGGGCTCTATGTAATATTGTGGTCTCAAACTATTGTACCAATTACTTAGACCTTATCTTGAAAAAGCCATTACAGGGCATCCCTGCTATACGTCCAAGATACGTTCAAAAAAACATGGACATATAGTGAAAGGACGTTAAGAGGGGAAAAATTTTTCCTCTGGCTGACTTCCATTTTCGTAAATTGGTCTTCTTTTTTTTTTTTGGTTTGTTTTTTTGCATGAAGAAAGAGTGGGGAATTGGGAACAGTTCCCACAAGTGTCAACAATGCTAGTGCAGAACCAATGTATACTGGGGTGACTCTTGGAAGAGACGCCCTGTTCTGTTTTACCTCCTAACATAGTACAGTAAACTTCCGATAATCCGGCACCTTTAGGTCCCAGGGGGTGCCGGATTATCAAATATGCCGGACTATCAGAAGGGGGGGCTATGAGGGGTCTGGAGTGGGGTGGGAGGGGATGACCCCAGACCCCCTCATAGCCCTCCCTTCTGATAGTCCGGCTCTGCCCCAGGAGTCCCCG